TAGGGGTTTAGTTGCTTTAGGGTTTAGGGGTTTAGGGGTCGAGGGGTTTAGGGGTCGAGGGGTTTAGGGTTTAGTTTAGGGTTCAGGGTTGGGGGTTTAGGCCTTTGGCGTTTCGGGGTCGAGGGGTTTAGGGTTTAGTTTAGGGTTCCGGGTTGGGAGCCCCCAAACCCTAAACCCTAAACCGTTTAGGGTGTCTGGGCCTTCGACCAGCACCACATTGGAGCTCAAGGCAGCACCTGCTGGAGCTGTGGATTCACGAGCTTCAGGGTTTTGGGTTTAGGGTTTAGGGTTTAGGGATTTGGCTCCAATTACCTAAGGTAGGGGCCCTTGATAATTGGAGTAGGGGTTCCTTTACAAGGGATCCTTAAAGGGTTCCTTTAAAGGGTCCTAAAAGGGATCTATAATTAATATAGGACTGGAGGCTATAGATATGGAGGTTTCCGAAAATAGGGCACCCTAATTTAGTACCCCAAATAGTAGGATCCTTATAATCAGGACCCCGAAATAAGGTAACTCCGAAAGTGTCAAAGTAATCTTGATGGGGTTCTCAGTGTAGATGCAGAGGTTTAGGGTTTCGGGTCTAGGGAAACTGATTCAGGCAGAGGAGGCCGGGGATATTAGGGGGTTTGACTCATCTAGGGATACTCGCCAAGCTCAAAACTCCACTCACCTCAACACCTTTTTTGTGTTCTTTAGGGCTCCAGTTACCTAAATAGTAGGCTACTACCCATACCCTAAGGGTGCATGTACCCAAATAGTATACATGTTGGCCTTAAAGTAGTCCCTATATGGGTACTTTGCGGCCAAAGTATATGTACTGTTTGGGTACATGGACCGTTAGGGATATACTCTGTAACCCAGTACCGAATTATTCCCGTAACTGGAGCCCAACCAGATGCTTGCGTGCGCTTCCGACATGGCGGCTGAAGCTTTCCGAATATCAACAAAGCGCCCCGGTGAACCGGAGATCGTTTAGGGGTTTTGGGTCTAGGGTCCCATGGAGGGGTGTAGGGTTTAGGGGATCGTATATCCCATATGAGCCCCGCTAGAATGAAGCCCAACAAGGGAAGGAACACCCTTTCAACATGCTTAGCCTAAGGGCCCATGTACCCAAACAGTGTCTTATATACTTTGGCCTTAAGTCGTCCCTATCTAGATACTTTAGGGCCAATGTATATATGCTAGTTGTGCACATGGACCCTTAAATACCCTAAGTATCCTTCAACCCTTATCATGGTACCCACCCTAAACCCTAAACCCTAAACCCTAAACCCTAAACCCTAAACCCTAAACCGTACCCTTCTAGAGCCGTTAAAGGATCCCCTTCAAGGACCCTGACAGGGCCTTGGGCTTACGTCCTCTTTGGGGCCCTCTAGACGTTCAGGGCCATTGAGACTGCACCCTAAGCCCTACTTGGAGGTTCATGGGTAGTTATAAGTGGAGATATAAGTCCCCTAATACGGGTTATAAGTTATAAGTACAGTTACCCTACTTATAGCCCCACTTATAACTACCCATGACCCTCCAAGTACAACCCCTAAACCCTAAACCCCAAGCTTTCATGTCCAAGGCCCCTGGCCGAAAAGGCTCCCTAAACCTCAGCCCAGGTGTGGCTTGCAGAGTTTTTTTTTCGCAGCCTGTGTCCGGCTGCACGCACAAGGTGCCAGGTATGTACACCAGCATCGCACCGGCCGGCACTGCGGCTGGCGTTGAGTGGTCGAATGCGCCGCCGGCCTCGCTGTGCGTGAGCCACTCGACAGTCTCGCACCGGTAGATGCGCTCAGGATCACCGGCGTACTCGATGCCTGCGTGCTGCATGGCCGCCTCCAAATGTGGCCTCATTGCTGCGAGCGATGCATGGCATGGCCGTTTAGAGTTTAAGGTTCGAGGGTTTAGTTTAGAGGATTCAGGTTTTAGGGTTTGGGATTTGGGGTCTAGGGTGTAGGGGTTTAGGGCAATAGGGGTCTATAGGGCTCAAATAAGGCCTAAACATACTGAATGCGGGCAATGTAAGCACTCGGCAAAAGGTCAAAGCTTTCCCAACCATAACCCCCCCTTGGGCTGGGTTCGCTGCAATGGCCTCCATAGCCGGGTGGGTAACCAGCTCGGAAAGACCAGGGGGTCAAACCCTTGTCCTTTTCCCCGTGAAGGGTTGAAGCTGTAATCCTGAACCCTGGAAAATCAGAACCCAAAACATTGGCCCGAGACAACCCGAACCGGGTTTAGGGTTTCGGGTTTAGGCCTAAACATCCCAATACTTTTGAACATCGGCACCCAAGGTGCCTCCCAGCTTGGCCGCGGCCTGGCCAACCCGGAGAATTACGTCTGAAGCTCCATGGCACCAAACCTGAGCAAGAAGATTCGCCGATTCGCATTTTGCTGACGAGAGGGGGTGGTTTAGTGGGCAGCGTCCCTTGATATGCACTGCCAGCTTTGTACTATTCGAAATCCGAGGTCTTTATCGACAAGCCCGACACAGTCAACGCTGGATACCAACTCCAAAACCTAACTCCAAACACCAAGCACTGCTGTGAAGTCTGAATCACAACTCCCAGCCCAACCACCCTAAACCCGTGCCCTAAACCCCCAACCTAACACTCTCAATCCCTACTCCGAAACCTAAATCCTATATCCTAATCCCAACCTTAAGCCCAACTCTAGGCCATCAAACCCATGCCCTAAACCTGATCCCTAGCGAGACTCTGGATGGTAGCTATAGTCTCCATTGTAGTTCCTTTTGGGGGATACCTTATAAATTCCTTAATATATAATTGGTTGAACCAAAAAAAAGGAACTACAATGGAGACTATAGGTAGCAACTATCATTTCCGGTTACTATTCTTGTTAGAGGGTGCTTAGCAGCAGGGAAGGTAGGTCCCAAAATATGTCTACCCCGGCTTTTGCAGAAATTAGCCTAGGACTCCAGTTGCCTAAATGTTAGGTTACTAGCCATATGATATGTGATCCAGTAGCCTATCACTTCGTTATCTGGAGCCCTAGGAATTGTTGGGTTATGTTATATATGTACCATAATGGTGAGATCATGAACCCTAAATCCTAAATCCTAAACCGTAGATTATTGAAACCCCGAGCTGCCAGTCGGTCTTCTTCTGTTCTGAGAGCATTCGCCAACTCCTTGCAACAAGCCAAAAGCTTCCAAAAATAGGGGTCTACTCGACTATAAAACAATACTAAGGAGCCCTACTGAATGGTATGATTTATTGGAGTGTAGGGCTTGTAAAAGTCCATTGCAGGCTTAAGTGTTTACAGCGAAGTCTATGAGGGTTTAGTCTTAAGGGTTTTGCGGGGGCTTGTGAAGGTCTGGAAGGGGTCAGGACGTTTAGACAGCTTTGCTACGTAAGTAAAGGGATGGTTGAAGGTTCGCTTCCCTTAAAATGATGGATTAGGACTTGCCGATAGACGGGTCCGAAAGGCCCTAGCTGGTCCGCTAAGTCGCTACAATGATGCTTGCTTGTTTGGGGTTCCAGTTTAGCGAAACCTTAAACCCTAAACCGCTGCTTTTTAGCGGCCTTGGTCCTACACTGGTCCCAAACGAAACCCTAACGGTCAATGTACCCAAAGAGTATACACTTCGATGGACCAAAAGTAGTCCGAAAAAGGTACTTCAGGGCCAATGTATGTACGATTCTGGTACATGGTGCTTTAGGGCCAATGTAATTAACCATGTAACCCTAAACCCGTACATGGGCCCTTAGAGTAGGCGTCGGAGTTACGGTAGGAGTGAGAGCAGACTCAAACTTAAACTACGTGGGTAGTTATCTAAATTAGGGTCCCCTTTTAGGTCCCTAATATACATATATATATATATATATGTATATATATGTATGTATGTATGTATGTATGTATGTATGTATGTATGTATATATATATAGAGAGAGAGAGAGAGTACGGCACCCTATTAAAAAAGGCGCGGCTAGCTGCTGATCCTTGGCCGGGGTATAACGGTATAGAGGCATAAAGTTTAGGGCTTTTCGATGAACCCCTTCGACCCCGAATACAAAACACATTTTGAAAAAATCCTGCGATTTATGTACAAAACTAAAAAGAGTCTTACAAAGGTCCCAAGTTTAGGCTTCAGGAGTCTATCATGGACCCTAAGTCCCAAAATCCCCGGCCCCCCGCCCCGAACGTCGGCCTGATAGGCAGATGGACGTCCAGCAGCAGGATATTCAGCGACACGTTCCTTGAGGACTAGTTTTGGGTGGGTTTAGGGTTTACCTATAGTCTCCATTGTAGTTCCTTTTTGGGGATACCTTATAAATTCCTTAATATATAATTGGTTAAACCAAAAAAAGGAACTACAATGGAGACCATAGGTAGTGTTTAGAGTAGGGTTTCGCGCTGAGGATTTCGGGTTTATAGGGATAAGGGGCAAGCTCGAAGGTAACTCTTTCTAGAGCTCCAGGAAAAGAAATACTGAAACACTGTTACTGATACAGCCAAGAGATGCTGTCGAAAACCCTAAACCCTCAACCCCTAAACCCCAAACCCCAAAACCGTAAACCCTGAAACCCCCCAAACCCTAAACTAGCTACTTGGTGGTGTATAAATAGTCTAAAATCAATGTACTGGGCCCTTTACGTAGGCTCCCCTTGTTCGGAAGCATCTAAGACGGTTTAGGGTTTTTGGTTTAGGGTTTAGGGTTTAGTTTACCCAGATAGTATTTTCATTCGCCCTAATGCCTAAAGTACCTACGTATAGGGACTGCTTTGAGGCCAAAGTATATGCTACGTAGGACCCTCTAAGACGAAGATCTGGGACCATGGCACGCCCTGAACCCTAAACCCTAAACCCTAAAGTTTAGGGTTTAGGGTTTAGGGTTTCCTGATGTGGCTCAGGAAGTGATGGCACCCAGACAGAGCAGAACTCAGACTCCCCGCCAAACACCTGAATCCTGAAATTATGAAGCTGAAAAGCCCTAAGCCCAAAACCATATAAACCCAAAGTTCATCGACTTAGGCGGGCTTAGGTTTAGGGTTAGCCGTCCACGATGTCAAAACGCCTGCACGGCAAGCGATCAAGTGTGCCCTTACCTATAGTCTCCATTGTAGTTCCTTTTTTTTGGTTTAACCAATTATATATTAAGGAATTTATAAAGTATCCCCAAAAAGGAACTACAACGGAGACTATAGGTAGTCCACATGTTACCCTCCAGCCTTGGTGAAGCAAGCCTAGGAGAAGGACGGCAGCAACAGCTTCGGAAGACCAGCCCAAATCCCGATTTTTTTGAACCTGCCCCCCTAAACCCCCCAAATCCCTAAACCCGAAACCCTAAACCCCTATTCTCCTAAACCCGAAACCCTAAACCCCAAAAACCTATAAAGCCCGAAAGCCTAAGCCCTTTGAACCCCTACGTGTAAATCCCGTATTCAAGCTTCAGAAGGCCGAGTAAACCCATGTTCAACTCTTCTTTTGAAACCCCAAACGCTCTAGGGCCCATAGTCTAGGGTTTAGGCTTTAGTGAAACTTTGTAAACCCTACTTAGCCTTATTGAAACCCAAAACTTGATACAAACTCTGGACCATAGTCCCAAGGACACCCAGACACTGCCAAATCAATCCTTCAACCCTGAACCCTGAATGCCAAACCCTAAACCCTAAACCCCAAACCCTAAACCCTAAACCCCAAGCCCTAAACCCCTAAACCCCAAACCCGAAAACCCTAAACACCCCAAGCCCTAAACCCTAAACGCCAGCCCAAACCCCCGGTCTGACACCCAAAACATTAAACCCTACCTATAGTCTCCATTGTAGTTCCTTTTTGGGGATACCTTATAAGCCCCTTATTATATAATTTGGTTAAACCAAAAAAAGGAACTACAATGGAGACGATAGGTAAAGTTTAAGTCCAAAGCCCCAGGTCTGAAACCCCAAGACAGCAAACCCCAAAGAAAACCGTCCTTGGTGTAGGGGTTTAAGGGTTTAGGAGTTTAGGGTTTAGGGTTTTAGGGTTCAGGGTTTAGGGATTTCTGGGTTAGGGGTTTAAGGGTTTAGGGCCGTACCGTACCTAAACCCTATAAAGCCCTGTGCAGAGCGTCCGCGGCAGCACGGAAGGCCCAGCGAACGTCCACCGAGGCACCAAGCACGCTGCCTGTCTGTATGGTAGTAGGGCCTGAATTATCGGAATAGGGTTCCTAAGTTCCCAGGGTACGTTTGAAGGGGTCCTATAAGGAAGGTGCCTTAATAATTAGAGTAGGGTTCCTTCACAGGGTTCCTCTTAAAGGGTGACTATAAGGGTTCCGTAAAGTTTCTATAATATAGGGGCCTTCATAATTAGACTAGGGTTTCGAGGGCCCATTATACTACATTTATAATAAGGAACCCCCAAACAAGCATTGAACTATTGGTACGTATTTAGGCCCCTATGTTAAGGTGGGGGCCTTAGAGATCAGAACACGGCTCCTCTCCTTCCAAGGATCCTTTCTGCGGGGTCTCTAAAAGTGGGGGCCTTAAAAGTTATACTAGGGTCTTGGTTTACATTTTAAGAGAAATATAACAAGACATCTCAAGGCATAATACTTTTTCAAGTGTGGGCCTTGATATGCTCGGAATAGGGTTTTGGGATACATGTCGCTAGAACCCCAACGAATCGACCGAAAACCCAAAACCCTACACCTTAAACCCTAAAAGCCCTAATATTGGCAACTAGTGAGGCTTCTACGTCAGGGCTTTGGGTTTGGGAAGGCTTAGGGCTCCTCTTAAGGGCTCCGATCAGGGCTGTTAGGGCTTGGGGCTCAGGTTGTTTTGGGTTTGGGGGTTCGGGGTTTAGGAGGTTGAGGAGGCAAACCCCAAACCCTAAACACGAAATCCGAAACCCTAAACTTTTGCCCTTTGGAGTTCTTGAGCCTTTGTGGGTCAGGTTTAGAGCTTGAAAGGCCCGGGATGGCAGGTTGAGTGGGTTTGGCTTCAGGGGGCTTGAGCTTTCAACCCTAAGACCTGTACCCCCAGACCCTAAACTTAAACCCTAAACCCTGAAAACCCCAAAAAACCCTAAACTTTCCTTTAAAAATAGTTAAACTAAGTTTTTGGGCATTCGGCTGTAGGGTTTCGAGGTTGCAAAGCTTACGTGGTTTTTCAATTCGCTGCAAGGCTCCGGGAGAAGCAGATATGTGGAAGCCAGAATCGCTTTCAGGGCTTAAAGTTTAGGGTTTAGGGTTTACAGTTTAGGGCTTAGGGCTTAGGGTTTAGATCAGCAACATATGGCCCAGAAACCCTATTCTAATTACCAGGGCCCTCGAAGAGTTGCGGAGATTTGGGAAACAAGGCTGGATCAGCCGAAGGGCCCTAAGCACCTGCATAAGAGAGTGTGGGGTCTGAATCACAGGAATCACTCTTATGGTTTGGGGTTTAGGGTTTTGGG